TTTTTTTTTTTTTTTGGCATTTTATATGCAATAAATTTATATTATTTCATTTATTTCAGAGTTATTATTTATGAAAATACTACCGTCTCGTTTTGGAACTATTTTGCTGGGATTTTTAACCGTAGCTTAGTGTAGGATAAATGATCTATGGTTAAATATTTCGACGGAATAATTCCGTAACGGAACATGTACTATAAGTTTCGCAATGAGTAAAGTTAAAAGTCAAGATGTATCAATACGGCTACAGGAATGGCGAGTGCGGGGGGCCTTTTACGAGATCACAACGGTAAGTTTCTGGGTGGCTTCTCCATGAACATTGAGTTTTGTTCTATCACGGGTGCGGAGCTTTGGGGCTTGTTTCAAGTCTTGTCTTTAGCTTGGGATTTGGGGCATCGTAGAGTTCTAGCCGATATTGATAGTCGAGTGGTGGCGGACGTGATGAATGGTGAGGCTGAATTTCAGGGCGTGCATAGTAGTCTTGTTCGGGCTACGAAGGAGTCGATGAATCGTGATTGGAATGTCGAACTACGTCATGTCTACCGTGAATCGAACTTTGCGGTCGATTTTTTGGCATCGCTAGCAGCTTCGGGCCCTGAAGGAGTTCAAAGGCTAGAGTTCCCGCCGCCGGGTTTGAAACCATGGTGTAACAACAAATTTATTTGGAAAACATAAAATTTCTGTACAACTTGATTTATATTTCGATCAAACGATATGCATGTACAATCTCTATTTATCTCCTCTGATTCTTCTCTTCTTGAATTTGGATTTGGATCTTCGAATATGGATTTGGACTTAATCTTCTTTGGGCTTAATCTTGGATTTCTCTAACATTAATTTGGGGGTCGAATGACTTATTCCCGTATTAGATGTTAGGCCTTGACTTGATTGAAGAAGACTTCTTGGAGGATTTGATTCTTTGATCTTCTTGAAAGAGGATTTTGACTTGAATAACGTTGACTCGAGGGCTAAATAGTTTTTTCCCAGATCAAACGCTATGTTGGTTGAACTTCTCAACGAACATGGCTTGAATGTCGCTTGAACGTCGTTGATATTCTTGGATTGACTTGAGAAGCGTGAAAGTCGTCTCTTTACTTCTTGAGGAAGAGTCGCCGCCTCATTTTCTTCTTCTTGGCCTTCTTCTTCATTGAACGGACCTCGAACGGTTCTTCAAGAACTTCTTCAAATCTTCAAGAGGATTCTTGAGAGCGCTTGAATTTGAGACTTTGATTTTTGAGATGTGTTTGATATTTTTTGATGTGTAGGAGAGAGCCCTATTTATAGGTGTAGGAGAGAGAGTCTTGGAAAAGAAGACATCAATTTGATTGATCCTTCTTGATTTGATATAATCTCTTTCCTCATCC